TCCAAGTGTTTTTTATTGCTGGTGAAAGTTGGAAGTCGCTAGTTTGAAGAACCCGAATTTTTAATAGAGGGAGCGCAGTCTGCTGACATCACATTTGAGACCCACATTTACAAAACTGGTAAAAATCAGGATTTCGGCCGATTTGAGTGAACCTTTCACCATCTTCAGAGGCGACTCTCGGCTCAAGATTCTGAAAATTTGAAGTCGCTAGTTGAATTAGTGTTTAAGATGCAAATTTTTTAAGGAATTGGGTGAGAAATTGGGTGAGAAAATCCATTTTAAGACCGATATTTACTAAGCGGGAAAAAATCAGGAATAATGGAGATTTTTATTAAACTTTGAGCATCTTTTCAGGCAAGCCGTTTCTAAAGATAATGAAAATCTGAAGTCGCTACCTGTTTCAGTTTGGAAGATACCAATTTTTAAAATAGATAACGCAGTTTGGTGAAAACACCCATCTTGAACCCGATTTTTACTTACGGCGAAAAAATCGGGATTGTGAAGAATTTTTATGAAACTTTGAGGTCCATTAGAGTAAAGTATTTTCTAACTATGGTGAAAATTGCAAGTTGCGAGTGGCTTTAGTGTGGACAAGGCGAATTTTCAAAAGAAAGAACGCAGTTGACTGATGCCGTCAAATTTGAGACCCACATTTACTAAACTGGAAAAATCAGGATCTCGGGCTACGTTCACTAAACTTTCAAAATATTTAGTATCATGATTTTTCTAACCATGTTGGTAATTTCAAGCAGCTGCTTGTATTAGTTTGAAAGATGTAAATTGTTAAAACCGAGAATGCAGTTGACTGATGGCATAAAATTGGCGACCCGCATTTACTAAGCGGGCAAAAACTAAGCTTGGGTGCGATTTCTATGAAACTTTCAGCACAATTAGAGTCAAGCGTGATTTCGAAATGGTAAAAATTTTAAGTCGCTATTGGCCTTAGCATGAAAGAGGCAAATTTTTAAAGGGGAGACCGCTGTTGACTGAAAACATCAAGATTGAGCCTAGATTGACTAAGCTGGAAAAAAATACGGATTTGCAGCCATTTTCATTTAACTTTCAGCATCTGTCGTGTAAAGTGTCGTCTAAGGAAGTTGATAATTTTAACTTATTTCTTGTTTTAGCTCGGAAGATGCGAATTTTCGAACTAAGGAACTTTCGGAACTTTCGAATGAGAGGATGCAGTTGACCGAAGTCATCAAATTTGACCCTCACATTTACCAAACTCGCAAAAATCAGGTTTTTAAGCGATTTTTACACAACTTGGAGAATCGTTAGGCTCAAGTGTCCGATAAAGATGCTAAAAATTTCAAATCGCTTCTTCTATTGGTTTAGAAGATATGAACTTTGATGTCAATGACTCTAATCCAATGAAGATTTTCCGCACTTGAATAAGCCGACGCAAACGACCGCGAACCGAACAAACGTGCACAAATCCAAGCCGTGCAGGCTTGAATGTCTGGCACGAAATAAACCGACGCGAACAACCGCGAACGGAACGAATGTGAAACGTACTAAATATTCTAATTAAGCTTGAAACGTTCCAAAACAGCTAAAAACTCGCAAGTGCCAACCCAACGAACCAAGACAAATCGGGGCGAATTAACGTTGAATTTTGCATTTTTTCAAGCAACTGAAACCTTAAACTTTGGGGAAGCGAACAGGAACGAACGATCGCAAGAAACAACACAAAAAGTTGCTGTTGTGAAATCATCTTGTGAGGTGAAGTGAACAGAAACAAACGCACTGGAATGCACACAAACAAATATTTCAGCTTCATAGCACTCATGGAAAGCTGCAGCAGTGCGAACACAACGAGCAAGCGAGCGATTTTTGCGTTTTTCCAGGCCATTCAGAGCCTTTTCCGGATGTGCAACGTTAGATCCTGCCTGGGATTAGCAAAAATGCCCTGCAAGTGCAGGCCTGAGATTAAGAATAGACTACAACCCAACCATAGCAGATGGATTCTGTTTCTTCTAGACAGGGCCTTCGTCTATAACTCAGCACAATTGCAGACGCTTCTGGCTTCTCCCTGATTTACTAGAAATTTTTTGGGCCGGGCAAGAAGACTTGAAAGACGCCGCTTATGCAATGGGAGTTTCACGCACTGTTCCAGACAGTCTTCATGCAAAATTCTATGGAGCTGACTTACCCAATGCCATGATTAACCTGTGCGGATGCAACTCAGCGTGGAAAAATCGAATGTGGAACTTACGCGACGAAAAACCGCTCGTTTTTAACGCGGATTCGACGAAAGTTAAGGACCTTCTGTCCACCTGTTCTCCAGAGCGGCGCAGCCGACGCCGCCCTGCAAAGGCGCCGCGACGACGGCGACGCTGGAAATTATTGGCGACAGTCAATTGCACCACTGGATACATTTGGAATGCGTTTTTTCCAGCCAATCTTCAGCAGGTGAACACAATTGAACCGTGTATGATACGCATCTAGTCATATAAATTGATGGGGAGCCCGAAAACGACTCCCGGATAAGTTTAATGGAAAAACCAAGCCAATCAGAATCAGAATGGCTGTAGAAGATTGCAGCGATCGGATCTTAATTCGTTTGATTCTCTGGGAGAAGTGAGGGTTTCTTGAAAGGAGCTACGGCCGCCCTTGCAGCACTTTTTCAGGTTGATAAAGACAGTTTGTTGCGGAATTGCTCAGAATCTTCCGGTTTCAACCGCGGTTTTACTAGCAGCTTGCCGAAAGGCTTCTAATTCAATCTAGGGCTTATAATGAGGCGCGGTCGTAGCTCTTTTGCAACTTCGGCCCGCATTATATAACGCAAGTTTTCCGCAATGAAGTTTGATTAAGTTCGCCAGAGTTGCGATGAATTCCGCACTGAAACTGGCCAAGGTTTGGATGGAGAATTTCCATACAGAACACCATTGATTGCGCGTGGAAAATTTGAAAATTGAAACAATGCATGCTAAGCGAAAGTTGCCCGTTAAGTGGGGAAACCATCGGGACCCATTTTCCATGAATATCATTTCATTTTCGGCTGCAATTTGGATTTTAGCTCGTCTAATCGCGGTCTTTTGCCCGTTAGTAAACGGGCCGAGGACGTGACGCGTTTCACATAAAATCATCCAACCCTAAAACCGCACCTTGGGATTTACATGACCGAAACCGCCCTCAATAACGTACAGCGTAGTTCGGCGTTCTATTTTTAATAAATCGCCGCAATGGAAATGAACAACGAAGAAAATTAGCCCATAAATGTATGGACGAAAGCACATTAACAAGCCGTAATAAAGTAGGGGATGTGGGTGAACAGTGGCCGGTAAACGTCCGATTTTATGCGCCATTAAGGCGCAATTTTACGGCATAGTAACTCGACAGCCCCCTATTACTCAAACTGCTTTCAGGAGCCACCTTTTATTATCAAAACAATATGCGCCCAATGCAGTTTTTCGCAAAAACTCGTGCGAGTGGCGTCCTCAGAGGTGTGCTTGCCAGCGAAGCGAACTAGACCTGAGTAACACTGTGTTGAGTTGTTGCTGCCCTGTGAGTTAATGAGTTTCAACTCATTGGTCAATGACGGAATTTTAACATCTAACAAAAAAGCCATCAGCATATTGCTTTTGCGCACACGATCGCTTGAAGCTATTTGGTCTAAAACGGAAAAATCCAGCAATTTTTAAGAAACTTTTCAATGTGCTCCTGGGCCCGAATCTGTGTATATCAGATCAGGAAAACCGGCTGACCATTCGAGCAATACTCGCCCCCCTTTGCTAAGCTGGCTTTAGCCGATGTTTCGCGGTGGATTCGGCTCGGTTGCCCAATAAAAACTTATTTATATTTGGAAGTTATCGAAATCTGGTGTTATTTCGCAACAAAGCCGATGTAAGCCGTTCGAAGGGCGCGCTTATAATAAGCTTAGGCAGGAAGGCAAAGCGAACCCTTCGGGGCTTCGCAGGGCCGGCGACCGGATCAAACGCAATTTGGTGTCGCTTGTTTTTCCGAAATGCGATCGTTGTAGCATGTGCGTGCCAATATTTGTCGCAGGAAAAACCCCATATTTCCAGCGAAACATGCAGAGCTGGATTTGGACGCTTTCCGCCATAAAAGACTGCTTTAAACTGAAACTTAAACACATGAAAATCTGAAAAATCCCTGCACCCGATGGTAGGTATTTCACGTTTTTTTGAACCATCCTGTACGTATGGTAGCGTCCCTTAGGGGTGAAATGGGGCGCCAAAATCCCCGAGTATTAGCCTGTTGGCACCGCAAGCCAATTGAAGAGCAAAAATAATAAAGAAAAGGAAATACAAGCAGCCAGATAACTTCTCACACAAGTTATTGTTGGCTAGGCCCGAAGGGATGAAGAGATTGGGCCTTGTGACCCCAATTCGAACCCCCCTAAGCCCATCGGTCCCGCAGGGATCGATTCGTGACGCAACTTGCAGGACTGTAATGTCTTTTTTCCTCAAAAAACCATTCGTCTTGTGTCTTTTTCATCATTGAATTGTTCCATAGGCTCTAATTTCAGTTCAGTGTCTTTAAACCAAAGCAACTTTGAATGTGTGAACTCAAAATCCTCCAAGATGTCTTGAAATCTAGACGTAAACTGAGTTGACTTGAACATGGCTAACTTCCATAGCTTCAATTGGAGTGAAGTGTCTTTAAAGCGAAAGGCTTTTGATCTGAGTTCCAAGGAAATTTATCTTTAAATCCACTTCATCCTCCACCCAGAAAATCTGAGGTTTTTGAAAAATGCGAACTGAAAATCTTCCAACAGGAAACCTTTAA